AACTCATAACTGCCTCAACCTTCTCCGGATCAACTGACACACCCGAAGCTGACACCACGTGTCCCAAAAATTTTACCTCCGTAAGCCAAAATTCACACTTGCTGAACTTGGCATACAACTGGTGGTCTCTCAAGATCTGGAGAACAACCCTCAAGTGACCTTCATGCTCCTCCTCAGACTTGGAGTAGATCAGTATGTCATCAACAAAGACCACAACGAACTGATCTAGGTAGGGCTGGAACACCCTATGCATGAGATCCATGAATGCCGCTGGGGCATTCGTTAATCCGAATGGCATCACAATAAATTCAAAATGCCCATAACGCGTTCGAAATGCCGTCTTCGAAATGTCGACATCTCTAATCCTCAACTGATGGTACCCCGTGCGCAAATCTATCTTGGAATAAACCCGTGCCCCTCTCAGCTGGTCAAACAAGTCATCAATACGTGGCAAAGGGTACCTATTCTTGATAGTGACCCTATTCAATTGCCGATAGTCAATGCAGAGCCTAAGCGTCCTGTCCTTCTTCTTGGCAAATAGTACCGGAGCACCCCAAGGTGAAGTACTCGGCCTAATAAAGCCTCTGTCCAATAACTCTTGTAACTGGACTTTAAGTTCTTGCAACTCCGCTGGTGCCATCCTATGCGGTGCCATAGAAATAGGGGATACACCGGGCTGTAACTCTATAGTGAAATTTACCTCCCGATGCGGTGGTAACCCTGGTAACTCATCCGGGAAGACATCCGCATAGTCACACACGACTCGAGGCAGACCCAATTCCTGTCTCTCCTCGTCCTCCAGTGTAAGGCTAGCAAGCCAACCTATCAATTGCCCGTGCCATCGGGAGTCATATACGGCATGGGGTAAGGCATTGTGTTTCTCCCCCTGAAACTTGAAACAAATCCCGTCTAAAGTGTAAGCTGTAACCCTCTTACGCTCGCAATCAATGACGACTTTATGTGCCGCCAACCAATCCATCCCGAGTATGACATCGAACTCCGTCATCTCGATAACCCTAAGGTCAACAGTAAGTTGGGTTCCTTCGATCTCCAACTCACAACCCCGACATATCTTGTCAATACAAACTCTGTCTCCTAGGGGTGAACTCACATACATGGGCTCATCCAGAGTCTCGGCCTCTATACCCAAGTCTCGTAGGCATGATGTAGCAATAAAAGAATGTGATGCACCAGAATCAAATAATATTTTTGTCCATAATCTAGAGAGAAGAAATGTACCCTGAATTACTGACTGATCTGCCGGTAAAGTCTGTGGTGTGATGGCGAAGACTCGCCCCTGGGTCCCTGAAGTCCCGGCCTGAAAGCCCTGTCCCCGGCCTCGGCCCATGCCCTGGCCTGACTGCGGAGTCCCCGCTCGTGAAGTGGTAGGGGCCTGTGCCGTACCCTGAAATTGCAACTGATTTCCCTGTCCCCTGGTGGGGTAGGGAGGAATGAAGTAGGTCTGTGGATGCCCCACTGATGATTGGGACTGAGATGCCCCGTAGCTCTGTGATCCTTGCCTCTGAGGACATTCTCTCTTCAAGTGTCCTGGCTGGTGACAGTAGTAGCATATCCGTGGGCCTCCCTGTTGTGTACCCCTGGAATTCTTCCCGCCTTGGGAAGATTGACCATAACCTTGGCCTTGACCCTGATAGCCTCGACCCTGTCCCTGTGATCCCTGTGGGGTAGAAATCCTCTGTCTCTTCCCCGAGCTAGTAGTGGAGGACTGTCCCTCCTTCTTCCTGTCCTTTGATCCAGCCTCCCGAATCCTCTTGGCATCTTCCACCTCTCTCTCTATAGCCATGGCTGTCTCGACCATCTCATCAAATTCGTGCAACCTGTGGCCAACAATCTTCCCGCGGATGGATAGCTTTAGGCCATTTTCAAACCTCCGTACCTTGGCCAAATCAGTGGCCACGTAGTCATCCGCAAAACGTGCCAATTCTGTGAACTTGGCCACGTACTGCATAACCGTCATCGCTCCTTGCTTCAAGTTTAGAAATTCATGGGCTTTGACTTCCCGAACAGCTGGTGGGAAATATTTCTTCATGAAGAGTTCTTGAAACTCTCCCCATGTCATCCTTCCGATGTCTATCGGCTTTGCCCATGTCCACCATTGATGGGCGTCTCCCTCAAACTGGAAAGTGGCCAATCGTATCTTCGTGGCATCAGATACAATCTCCATAGCTTCCAAAATTTTGTCCACCTGTTGGAACCAATTATCAGCTACCATCGGATCCCCTCCTCCTACAAAAGTTGGTGGGTTGTGGGACCTAAACTTCTGCAGGTTGTTCGAGCCTCCTTGGCCCACATTAGAACTGGCTTGCAAAAAGGTGGCGGTCATCGCGCCCATAGCCTCCATAAAGGCTTGTTGATCGAAAGCCGGTGGTGGTGGTTGGTTGTTTCGTCCACCCCGACGTCCCCTTCCTCTTGTTGCCATCTACACACACATAAGATAGCAATAGACCACTAACTTAGTATCTCAAGGTTAGGGATCAAAGTTAAAACAGTAGAATATATACCTATCGGTAAATGTGCAACCAATAGGCTTACACATCCTTTTCCTTCCCAACTCATGGTTTCTAACCATAGTACCTCATTCCTATATACATTTAATCATGCATATAATCTCATAACACATAGCATGAAAGATTTAATACATTTAACATGCAATACAAACTGGAAGCAATGACTTAAACCCATGCCCTGTAAGCCCTAGGTAAATCGTGAACCTAGGCTCTGATACCAAACTGTGACACCCCAAAGTCCGGGTGTCTGTAATTATCCGATTGGTTATCCATCGACCTGTGTAATACTGGTGGATATCGTGTAATTTGATACCACACCGTTATGCCCCATTTCTTGGGATCCATAACTTAACAAAATTTGGACAGAGTCTCCTTTGTACAAGGAGCTCTACTCAAAACGCAACCTGTACAACATTGACCACACCGGGTCTATCTATCCATTCACAATTATATAGTCTCGAATACTACCATAATCATTATCAGTACATACATTTATTCGTAAAAGAATAAATGTCCCAAAAGAGTCCCATATACATGCCTTTGTAAATATAAACAATGTTTGTTACAAAAATTATACAAGGCCAAAAGTAAGTATAAACAAGGGACTACAATGTCAAAATAAAAGCCACAGACCGGCTCTGTCGTCAAAGCGGGCCCATGGCCTCGCCTTCGGTGGAAGCCTGTGCGATACCTGAAAAATGTTCCCATAAAGGGTGAGCTAACGCTCAATAGGGTAACTCCTATAGAGAATACCTCTCAACCTAAATGAATATGGAATGTCACATGCAACGATCATTTGATACATTCATTTAAATATGTCTATTATGATTGAATGTTATAGATCATGTCATGCCATGAGATGAGACTCACGCAAGCAATACCAACCCCGAGCCCCATCCTGAGCTCCCATAACACATGCAATGTCATGCGTATGTATCCGAGCATTCCAAGCCCCCATCATTGGTGTTATGTACACTCAATGCTAATTAATTCATTTTCTTGTGTCTTTGTGGGGAGATGATTTATGGTATTACACCAATGGGACACCAACCATCAACGGATCTTCAGGACATCCCACCTGCGGCTCCGTTTCCGCCGTTACACTTTTTTGGAATTTCACCGCCGGAAAGTGTATAAACCAAGTAAGCGGGTCTTGCACCCGAGGGAGAATCTAGCCCTTCGTGCTGTCCCCAACACATTTATCCATTTAATTTCTCGTGCGACTCAACCGAACCTTGGTGCGACTTTTCCGAGTCCACGTTCAACCACCTACGTGGTGATTGATTTCATACCATGCATACACTCTCACCCATGTCAATGCCCATGAATGTAGTGCAACCCATGCATAATGAAATACAATGTAATGACATTTTAACACGATCTCAAGCATGTTATGTAAGATAATCAACTCAACTAACATACTTGTATTCACCTAGGCATTTAATCAAACACCTAAAGAGCACATCAATTTACACAACTAGCATGCTATGACTTGCAACATGATAACATGTTTAACATAAGCACAAGTCCACCAAAATAATCATATGTTAAATAATCATTTAACATATATATATTATTTCACAATCATATAACAAGTTAATAATTTTATTAAACTTGATCTTCCATTAAAATATAAAGTAATGCTAACATACAATTAACATGCTTTAAACTACTAACATTAACTTATACCAAGTTAATCACAATAGAATTTTATTAATCACAAGATTAATTATAAATTCTATATTTGACCCACTAGTCAAGACCTAACATGTGATATACACTCATAATCTACTCATTCCATATGTCATATTTTAAGTTGAAATTAAATCTAAATAGGGGAAACCCTACCTCTCGTAGCGTGAGACCACTTACAAGAACGCCAAGGAAGCCCAAATTTAGCTTCCTAAGTTTTAGGTCTAAATTATCGGCTTTGATATACCTTCGAAGACAAATACGATATTTGGTGTGGTTGCGTAGCTCTCGCTGAGTAGAGCAACTTTAGTTCTTGACTCGAAGCGATTAAACGGTTAAATTTTCCTAGATCTGAGAAGGAAGAAAAGAGAAAAAAAATAAAAACTCATTTTTTTTTTTCACTCTCTCTGTGTCGCCGGCAGTAGAAAACATAAAAAGTGGAAGACAAAGTCTTCCACTTATATATATAGATATATTATTTTTTTTTAAATTTACGTTTTTGACCCATAATTTAACAATTAATTATTATTTTACCCTTTTTATTAGGATTTTAATAATAATAATAATATTTTTTTTTNTGACCCATAATTTAACAATTAATTATTATTTTACCCTTTTTATTAGGATTTTAATAATAATAATAATAATATATTTTTTTTATCGGGTTTTACATAACCAGTGTCCTCATTGTAGCAATAAATGACTATCATTATACATAGAAGAAAAATATAATAATAGTTTGTGCATTATGGAGCGAAATGAACAAAAACATTTTTAGAAATGAGTTCAAAGATGCAGGCACAATTCAAAAAGAACTTGCAATACAACCATAACAAAATTGCATCACGGAAGCTCAAAGGCGATGCCTTTAATTACAATAGGACTCTGATTCAAGATTGGAAGTTGCCAGACTCTTGCTTCTGTACACAAAGTAATGACCATAAGTTGGTTTGTTCTCCTGCTCAGTTTTGTTCTACAATGTTCCTATATAGCATGAATCTGTTAAAAAAAACACCAACCCAAATGCAGTTATCTATGAAGGTCTAAGAGCTTGCAATGACCAGCTATTGGAACTGGAGGCACCTCAAAATCAGGGCTCCAATGCACAAGAGCAAACAAATGTTACAGAAGTTTGGAGCCCTCCAAATAGAAACAGACTCAAATTCAACTGTGATGGAGCCTATAAGCAAAATCAAAATACAGCTTTAGTAGGGTTCCTCATTAGAGATCATAAAGGGGTAGTGGAAGAAAGAACAAAATCTATCCCTGCATTATCTAGCTTACACCCAGAAGCACTATCAATCCGGGAAGCATTTCTGATGGCAGTTGCAGGAAAAAGGAGCAACTGTGGAAGGTGATATCATAGAGATGATCCTGTTGAGCTCGACTGAGTTGGTGCCCTTGTGGGAATTGGCAGCTGTGGTAGAAGATATCAGAGTTATTTCCAGAATCTTAAACCTGTCCTTCAAACACATCCCTAGATCTATACAAGCCTGCACACTGGTTAGCAGCAAATCACTCGAGACACAATCTCCCTACAAATTGGGTTGCTTGCCCACCTAGTGAGTTAGGATATCTCTTATTATCCGATTGTAACTACGTTCCTATTCTATGAATAGGAATTATCAATTTTCAAAAAAATGAACAAGCAACCACTGATTGCATAGACCACAGCAGGAGAGAGAATAACTTTGATATAAAGAATGGAGACCAATAGAGAAGATTTTGCTCAAAACACCTCAAAATTGTTAAAATAAACAACTACAAAAGCAGATCTAGCCAAATAGAACAAATTATATGGCATAAACAGAAAAAAGAAAGCCCAATGAAAATAGAGCTAAAAATTAACAACCAGACGAACAGGTAGCACTAAATGGACAACGGACCACAGACCACTTGCTGCGAGTGCGAGAAAGATAAAGTGAATTCTGGGTGAGGGACGCTATGTAGAAATCGTGAGACAGCGATAGAGATTTTTGGGGTAGAACTCATGGGGTTTTTCTAGAAGGTAGCTTAGTAGCTTACCCACCCCAGTCTATGCGAACTTTCCGGTTCACACGGGTTGGATCAAAATCGGCCGAGTTAATATCCATTTGACAAGTTTGATGTATAAACGCTCCAAATATCAATTCAACCCGGTCCCAGCCAGGCCAGGTTTCTTTACTGACTCTCGCTCTCTCTCTCCCGAGCTCAGTATACAGGAAAACTTCCATTTCAACCATTCAACGATACACAAATACATCCACTACACACTACCAACGTCATTTTTGTATCCACACACTACACACAATTCCTTCAAACACAATACACACTACACACACAATACCAACTTGATTAAAGGATATCGGAGGGTGACGACCAGTATATCGTTCACAGCTAAGTCCTCAACATCTCCGACAGAGATGAAACCCAAGTTATTGTATGCGCTGTCGTTAGTGATAAAAGTGATTCTCATCACCAAGCAAGAACCATCCATTGCAAATGTAAGCAATACTATTCTATTCTAATGTTAAAAAGTCACACCACTCAATTTGTTTTTATGGCTCCTAGACCCATTTGTTTTTGAAACCATTCTCCACTCCCAATACACCGACGTCCTACAGGACGCAGCACATTACTGCAAAGAGGTACAACGAGTTCACATTACTAGAGTCGTACTATAGGAGAAATTTTTCGTTGTGTATAATACACCACATGTTAATGTGTGTACATCATAGATTATATCGACAATGTTTCGCATCAACGACAAATTATCTTAAATTAAATTAATGAAACAGAATCGAATAAATTATGGAAATTAAGACTGACAACAAAGACTACTACAACAGATCTAATCAAGTAAAGAACGATAAAAGACCTTACCTATTTTCCTATTCCTCCCATACCAATAAAACTTCATTTTCAAAAAACAAGCCTACATTTGGAGAGAAATAAATATTTAATCTCATGCTGAAACACAAATTAGAATAACCATTAAATATAGTTGCTAATCAACTAACATATAAACTTCAAGAGATGCTTTATTTCATAACCTGGTGACTGAGGGGGCATAACTTCAACTGTGTTGTGTTGTAGTCTTTGAATCAAAAACTGAACCCTATCTCACAACCACGAACCTTTGATGTCTAGGAATTTTGAAGCAATTGATTTTGGTACCAGTGAAAAAACTGAGTCTGGAGAAAGAAGATTTTTTAGGGAGCAAGAAAAAGGAACTACAATGTAGAGAGAAAGAGATGGGATTAGAAACTGAGTACAAATGCAACAAAACTACAATATGCAGAATGCCTTATCTCATGTCAAAGATATAAATTGTGGTAGATACTAATTCATTAGAAAAAATATTGATTAAGCACACCTACCACTCACACCAACCACTCACATGCATCTCTACACTCCCTCTCAGCAGATATTAGAGAGGCAGAGAGAGGGGGGACCTGGACAACCTTTGATACATCTTTTGCACAATTCAAAGCAATCTAAACTCAAATGAATAAGCATCAAATGTCAACCCTAAAAATCTCTTTCATAAAAAACTTAACATAGATTCAATCAAAACGCTAATAACCTTAACACACAATCTTCATTAACACATTATCTCAATCAAAATAACTTTTTAAAATACATTCAATCAAAACCATACGAACCTCTTTCAAAAAACCCAATTTCATGTTTCAAAAACCATATTTCATGAAAGGAAAACCAATTTAAAAACCCTAACATTCAATTTCTTACTAAATAATTTTCAATTACTTTCAAAAAAATTCAACAACTAAAATTAGCCTACAAATTTCATAAAATGAACATTCAACATCCATCCAATGCAATTAACAAAAACCCTAACATGCAAAAACACTAAAAATCTTATTGAATGAACTTATCACATAACCTTCAATTGACACACAATCTTACCCTAAAAAACCATAACATACATCAAATCAAGACCCTATAAACATATCTCATATCGATTAATACACAATCTTTGAAATTATGAAAGTAAAATCAATTAAAACACAATCTTAATCTCAATAACCCTAACATTCATCAAATCAAGACCTCATAAACCTATTTCGTTCTAATTGACACACAATCTCTAAAATTATGGAAGGAAAATAAATTAATACACAATCTTAATCTAAATAGCTCTAACATTCATCCAATCAAGACACTATAAACCTATTTCATAATTTTTTTAAAAAAAAACCAAATTGAAATTTCACAATCTCTATTCAACACCCAATTTGAAAACCCTAACATTCAAAAACCCAACTTAATTTGCGTGTGTGCGTGCTGCTGTGGGGTGTGTGTGTGTTATCTGTCTGCGTGTGTTGTGAGTTTCTGCGTGATCTGTGAGTGTTATTTTGTGGGTTTGTTTGTGTGTGTGGGTTGGTGTGAAGAAAGAGAGGGAGAGAGGGTAGCTAACCTGTGGTGTGTGGTCGTCGCCGGTGAGCCAAGGCAGATATTCCAGGGAGTATGGAGAGAGAGAGGGAAGTCGCTGGGTGTGGAGAGATAAAAAAGTCGCAGGGAGTGTGGAGACAGAAAGACAGGGGACAGGGAGAGTGAAAGAGAGGCTCTGACAGTGTATTAGGGGACGTGCAAGTGGTTTTAGTTTTGGGCGGGATTTGTTTTTGGTTTGGGATGAATTGTGGGCGGGGCTATTAGTCGAAGGAGTTCATGTTGAATTTGAGTCAGCGTTTGAAAATTTTATTTCTCAATTAAATTTTAAAAATTGTTCAAATTCGACTCGTGTGAAAAACGAGTCGAACTTAAGCGAATCAAATTCAAGTCGAGCTCGAGCCGAACTCGAATATTTGCACATAGACGAATCGAACTTGTAAGGCTTATTTTTTAAACGAGTCTAAAAATTTGTCCAAATTTGGACTCGTTTAAAAAAAAAACCGAGTCTATCCAAAATCGAACTCAAGTCAAACTCAAGTAACTCAGTTTGATTAACGGTCTTAATTGTGTACCCATGATTTGTTTCTTGTTGGGATGAATCGTTGGAATAAAAGTGAATGAATTTATGAGTTATTGGATTAAATTAGGAGAAATATAAATCGTTAAAATTAAAATAGATTAAATTTAGACCGTCTTTGTGGTAAGTTAATTTTAGAAATTTAAAAATTACTCTATCTTATTATTATAGACTATACATTCTGAATATATGACTGTCATTTATCATTTTATTCAAATTTTTAATAAAAAAAATCTATTTTATGTCTCACGAGCTAATATTGTGGCAAATGAGAATTGGGCACCGAAAATTTTTTCCAACTGTCGACCCTTTTAACTTTTAAGAATTAAATTTTCTATGTGAATGAATAAACCCATTTGCTTTAAACTTTCATGGAAACACATGCAAAACAATAAAAAAAAAACTGTAAAGATAACAATCTCCTACTCATTTTCTATTTTTCTTTTTCNGTTACTATTAAAAGATATAGTAGGGGCACAACCAACATATCATTCAATGTTTACCAGAGTGCTTATTGGATCCAACGAAAGTCCTTAAGTTGAATATCATGACAACAAAATTGACAACATCTTCTGCAGAAATGAGACCCAAATTTGTATAGGTTTTTCCTTCTTTGAGAACAATGACTCTCATTCTATTTCCTATGCAGGAATAATGACTGTGAGTGTGGAGTGAGAGATACAAGCTATCTAGGGAAAGAAGATAAAAACAGTAATAATAGTCTAGGGTTGATGTCAAAAATATTGTGGAAGACAGGAAGCTGTCTCACTAGTCTCAAACTACTGTTGCTAATTTATAACTCCAAGGACAAAAATATAATTGTATTCCACACCATTCTTCTTCCCATCCTTGCTTTTAAGAAGGGTATGTTTGTCATTTCATTTGGTAATGGAGGTACCTCCCTCCCTCCCTCCACTGCAGTGCACCATCTNTTCCACACCATTCTTCTTCCCATCCTTGCTTTTAAGAAGGGTATGTTTGTCATTTCATTTGGTAATGGAGGTACCTCCCTCCCTCCCTCCACTGCAGTGCACCATCTCATATGAGTAAATATATATAACCTGCTGCAGTTTCTACTACAACTCCGGCACTTTTTTTTACAGTTGTGAAGATTTATTGTAAACCAGGTAAAGCCACCACCTTAAATTACTTCTATTCTCTTAAGAAGTACTTTTTGGATCTCATAATTATCCTAAACATTACCTTAAGAAGTACTTTTTAGATCTCATAGTTATCCTAAACATTACCTTAGTCACTACAAATATTATCCGATTGAGTATAAAGCTATCGAGCCAAAAAATTCACAAATAAATGTTGTCTTGAGCAGTTACCAAAGTTAAAATAAATCAATGCATTGATTACAAAAAAACTATATTCCACTTTAAG